CTAGACCTGCCCAATGCCTCTTGAGACCATTGCTCCTTGTTCTGCCACCTGTCACTACTGAGAACATTTGGAACCTCCCTTCAGGACGTTGGAGGCTGCTATCAAATCCCCCCTCACTCTTCTCTTCTGTAGACTAAATAAGCCCCAAACCCTCAGCCTCTCCTCGTAAATCACGTGCTCCAGCCCCCTCATCATTTTTGTTGCCCTCCACTGGACACTCTCCAATGCATCCACATCCTTCCTGTAGGGGATCACCCAGAACTGGACGCAATACTCCCGATGTGGCATTATCAATGCCGAATAAAGGGGAATAATCCCTTCTCTGGATCTGCTTGAAATGCTCCTCCTAATGCACCCTAATATGCCATTCATTGCCTTGGCTACAAGGGCGCCCTGTTGACTCATCTCCAGCTTCTCATCCCCTGTATTCCCCAGGTCCCCACGGGGCGCAGGTACCAAAGCCTGAGCCTACCCAAGCCTCGCTGCCCTGGGGAGGAGCAAAGCTGAAGCCCACAAGCTTTAGCCCTGGGTGACCTGTAGCCCAAGTCCCTGCACACAGGACTGAAACCCTCGGGCATCACCTTCTAGCCCTCAGAATCGGGCTTGGGCTTTGACCCTGGGCTTCAGCCAGCACCGTGAACATGTGGCTGTGACCCAGGTGTGTCTAGACTACAGGGTTTTTTCGAATAAAGTGGACTTTTGTCAAAAAAACCTCCCCTGTGCCTAGACTGCTGCCGCGTTCTTTCAAAAGTAAATCGAAAGAATGCGGCAGTTTTTTCGACTGCGGAAAACCTCATTTCACGAGGAATAACGCCTTTTTTCAAAAATGCTCTTTGGACAAAAAGGGTTATTAAATGCAAACAGGGCTTTTTCGAAAGAAGTGGTTGCAGTCTAGACACTCTCTTTCAAAAGAGGCTTGTAGTCTAGACGCACCCCCATAGTTTGAGAATCGCTCTCATAAGACATTGTCATTAAAACATCATGTTCTTTGGAGTAGACAGGGGTTGTTGAAACTACAACATTGTGATAAACATATTTTAAAACAGAGTCTAATTCCAACGTTCTCCTTGCTGACTAGTCTCAGAGGGTATGTGTACACAACAGTGTTATTTCGAAATAGCTTATTTTGAAATAACGCATCTACACAGAAAATGCATTTCGAAATAGCATTTTGCTATTTCGAAATAGCGCGTCCACACTGAGTGGACTCTGAATCGCACTTAAGGCTGGCCGGAACCAGTTCCGGCAGGGCACCAGGTCAGGACTTACTGTGTAGGGTTGCTGCCTAAGGCTATCTGAGGTCTGTGCTTAAAGGGACCCACCTCTTCTCCCCCCGGACAGCCAGTTCTCAGATTTCCCTGCTTGTTTGTCTACCTCATTGAGGGACAGCAAAGCATTTTGTCTCTGCGTGTTCTGGTTGCCCTCACTCGGGATACCACAGCACTCTGCAACATGGAGCCAGAGCTGCCCCTGGGACGCGTTGCTGCCAGCCTGGCTGCACTTTCTGCAGGCTGCCATCTGGGAGGTCAATCGGGGGGCTGTCAGTATGCATGAGGAGCACTAAGAGCCTCCCTGGTCTGCTCCACTGGGGGCTTATGCCTCATTCCTCCCTCACATTCTTCCACTTACCCTTCCCTAACCCCCCCTTCCTGATGTCAAATAAAATACACGTATTTTCACGAACACAAACTCTCTTTATTTAACAAAACTGGGAGGGAGAGAATGAAACTCTGGTGAGACTGGGGAAAGGAGGCGGGAGAGGGGAGGGGGAAAACTGGGAGGAGGGAGCTGGAAGGGGGAAACAAGGAGAAGGAGAGGCAGGGGAAGCTCAGGGTTGGGGGTCTCACCGGACCAACTTGATTGTCATGTAAACCTGCTCCTGGGTTCGCATGTGGCCTTTGGTGGCCAGGCTGGCAGCTATCCTGCCATAGACCCTGGACCAGGAAGGATCCCGCAGACTGCTCCTGGGAAGCGGTGGAGGGCTGGCTGCCAGTGGCTTGCTGGCTCATGTTTTGGGGCCACTGGGTCAGGGGCAGTGACTGTTGGCTCTGGGCTGGCAGGCTTGGAGTTGGTGTGGCCAGAGTCTACCCCTTTAAGGGCTCCAAGGAGGAGGAGAGGGAGTGGAGTGTTCTTGGTTGAGGCTGGAGTGGCCACCAGGGCTCCCTGGGAAGGCTGGAGGCCCCCATTTCGAAATAAGTGTCCACACAGCTCTTATTTTGAAATAGCTATTTCGAATTTGGCGTTATTCCTCGTAGAATGAAGTTTACCAAATTTGAAATAAGCACTCCGCTATTTCGAATTTATTTTGAAATAGCCGTTTGGCTGTGTAGACGATAGGAAAGTTATTTCAAAATAAGGGCAGTTATTTTGAAATAACTTTGCTATGTAGACATACCCAGAGAGTCTTGAAGGTCCAGTCACCTTCATGGCACATCGTAAGACACATTCGACTGGTTCTGCAATTGATTCACTATTTTTGTTTTATTCCTCTTTAGGTTTTAATTTTCTGACACCACAGAAATTAGTAAAACAAGCACATAGCAAATCTTGCCGATCAAAACATTCCAGATGGCTCTGAATGTCTGCACAGGCAGAAAACTCACCCCCCATGTGGTCGCTTGGGCTGCTCTCCTGACTCATCCTTTCTAGACGGACACCAATTTAAAATGTTGAGCTAAAACGGTGCGGTCAACGCTCACAATTCTGAAAGGAAAAATGCAAAGTTATTGTGCTGTGGGACTGTCACAAGTCTGGCAAAGAAACGAATACATTTGCACTCCATAAACAAAGTGGTGTTTGAACCTCAGCAAAGTGGGGGAGAAAGTGCCTGAGGATCTCATGGAATTTCTCATAGAAACTTCCGCACGCTGTTTGTAGGATGGGGGCCTACACACAGGTGTGTCTGCACTGCTGCTGGAAGGGGTATTCCTGCTTCGGCAGCCATAGGCATGCGAGCTCTGCTCCAGCAAGCACCTACAAACAGCAGTGTGGCCATGGCTGCCAAAGCAGCAGGCCAGGCCATTCACCTGATACAATCCTATCCAACATGCATTTGGGCAGCTAGCTAGCACCATCCTGGCCTTGCTGCTGTTTTTAAGCACCTCCTTGAGCAGAGCTAGTGCCTGTAGATCAGTGGTCCCCAACGTGGTGCCCGCCATTTTTTCAGAAGGTACTGCATGGACGTTGGAAAGAACAGAATCTTCTCCACACACGTCTACAGCTTTACAACACAACAAGGCGTATGTTCCATCTAGGGATGTTAAATAGCGGATAATAAACTAATTGAGTAGTTGATGGAATTTCCATCAACTACTCAATCGGTCGATAAGGGAGTTCACTGAGGCTCTGCTTTTTAAATATAGTCAGAGTCACAAGGCTCTTACTGCATTTCAAAAGGCAGAACCACAGTGGTCTGGAACTGGGAACTAGCTGGGACAGTTGAGTCCTGGCTCACACCCAGTCCCAGACACTGCATTTCTACCTCCTCTGCCCCACCCCCAGAGACAGTGCTGGGGGGGGGGGGAGTGGGGTTTCTAGCAAAGCTGGGACTCACACCTGCCAGCGACTGTGTAGCCACACCCTGACCCTCCATGAGGAACTGTTAAACTAAACCCACAGAGGGAGACAGCACATTATCAGCTGAGCATAGCATCTCAATTATTCCCACATATTCAACAATGCGGCTTGATTTCTACACCAATGTAACATTAACTTTTAGGTTCCTATTTCACAGAGCTCAGTGACAGTCAAAACTTCATGCTGAATGTTTTAGGTTATTTGTCCCCATGAACAAAAACAAAACCCACAGAAGTTTCGATTTTGCAAAGTGTTGATACAAAAACATGCTTGTCACACTCGCCCCTCCCCGCGCATTTGCTCACCCACCATTGAGTGTTTCTTGGCTGTGGCTGGGAATAGAAGCTCCGGCTCCTGAGTCCCAGTCCAGGGCCTCAACCACAACATCCTTCCTACTGACTCACTTCAGAGCTTGTTTGTCAGGACAGACGCTCCCCTCGAGAATACCCAGGGTAGTGTGCTTGCCAAGAGCCAGGCACAGAAGAATAGGAATATACTAGGAAAGAGAAGGGATTGGTGTTACTGGATGACAGTTACATCCTGACTTCAGGTATGTGCACTTGCGTGTGATCCAAAAGCAGTGGTAGTCTCAGGTGCACTTCAAAGGACAATATACAGCCCTTGAGGATGATGCACCCTAAGGTTCTGGTGGGATATACACATCACTTTGAGAGCATCACTCACTGTTCACAGTCACAGGAAACTGACCAAGTTATAAGAAAAACTTAAAAAACAACAAATAGTCTAGTGGCACTCTAAAGACTAACAAAACCTGGAGATGGCTACATCTACATGTTTACATGGGCCCATCTCAGGTTCCTTCCATCTACCTGTTTTGTTAGTCTTTAAGGTGCTACTAGACTATTTGTTGTTTTTTAAGTTTTTCCTGTTACAGACTAACTCGGCTACCCCTCTGAAGCTAATAAAGTTATACAGATGGATAAAGCTGCTCCACCCCTCAACACACAGTACATCTTCCATACCAGGGACAGATGTCTCATCTGGGATCGCAGGAAGTGTGCTGCCTCCCAGGGGACCATAGCCAAGATATCTAGCCGAGGAGCAGCCTGCCCTCTGACTACTATCCTGTGCTGCTCATCCACGTTGCACGGTGTGATACTAAGCCAATCAGAAGTGACCACAAGGCTCTTAGAACTAGGCTGGGGAATTGGAGGTGCAGATGATGTTCTCATCAATCCTTCTGCTGGTCAAGGGTAGGGTTCCAGACAGAGAAAGCACAGATGGACTGGCCAGAAGGGCCGGGGCATCCTCTTCCAAGGGATGGTGCTCCAAAGACTGCTAAGCAGAGATCTACCCATAAAGGGAAGAGAAGAGACACACTGACCACTGGCTTTAAACTAGGTTCAACAAGGACAGAAGACAAAAGCACACTGGTGAGTCCAGAACACGGAGTCCTGGGTGAAGGGTCGAAATTTGTGGGGAACATGGATAACAACAATAGGAAGACAGAAGAGACAATAGGGAATACAAAGGAAAAATGTAATGAATATCTAAGATTTCTGTTTATTCATGCAAGAAGTATGACAAATTAGTGAATAATCACAATTATGACATAATTGGCATCACAGCAATTTGGTGAACTAATTCTCATGACTTGAATATTAATACAAAAGGACACGGCTCATGCAGGAAGGACATGAAGGACAAAAGGGGGGTTGTGTTGAATATGAAGGATGTCTACTCTTGCACTGAGGTCAAGAAAGAAAGTCGGAAACAGGCCTGTTGAAAGTCTCTGGGTAAGGATGAAAGGGGAAAAAAAATAAGGGTGATGTCATAGTAGGAGGTCTACACCTAACCAGGAAGAAGAGGTGGATGAGGCTTTTTTTAAACAACTAATAAAAACATCCAAAGCCCAGGACTTGGTGTTGATGAGTGCTGTCAACTGCTCACAGAGCTGTTGGAAAAACAACACTACTGGGAACAGAATATCCAATACATTCATGGAATGCACTCCAGGCATTTTTTTAATACAGACGGTGGAGAAAGTGGCCGGGGAGAAGCTGTTCTAGATTTGACTCTAAGAAAGCGGCAGAAACTGGTTAAGAATTGTAAGGCAGAAAGCAGCTGGGGTGAAAGTGTTCAGGGAATGACAGAGTTCATGATTCTAAGAAACAGTAGGAGGGAGAACAGGAGAATAAAGATAATGGACTTCAAGAAGGCAGACTTTAGCAAACTGTGTAAGCTGATAGGTAAGAGCCCATGGGAAGCAAATCTAAAGGAAAGAGTTCCAAAGAATCTGCAGTTTTTAAAGACACATGACTAACACACAAAAGCTAACTATCTCAGGGTATGGCTACACTACAACGTTAATTCGAACTAACTTAGTTCAAATTAGTTAATTCGAACTAAGCTAATTCGAACTAACGGATCCAGACTAAAAAACTAGTTCGAATTAGCGTTTTGCTAATTCGAACTAGCATGTCCACATTAAGTGGACCCTGAACCGGGCTTAAGGATGGCCGGAAGCAGTGCCGGCAGGGCATCAGAGGAGGACTTAGAGCATGGAGATGCTGTCTCAGGCTAGCCGAGGGCTGTGCATAAAGGGTCCCGACCCCCACCCCGGACAGACAGTTCTCAGGGGTGCCCCGCTTGCAAAGCAATCCTGGCTTGGAGTGCCTGGACTACCCACACTGGGCACATCACAGCACTCGGCCATCAGCCCGGCTGCACTTGCCGCAGGCTGCCATCTGGGGAGAGGAGGCAATTGGGGGGCTGCAGGAGAGCTTCCACCCCCAGAAGCCCACAGAGCCAGCCCAGTCCTCCCCATCGGGGGCTCGTGCCCCATTCCTCCCTCACCTCCTTCCACTTACCCTTCCCTAGCCCCTCTTCTTGATGTACAAAATAAAGATAACGTGTCTTCCAAAATGGAATCTGTCTTTATTGAACAAAACTGGGAGAGACTGGGAAAAGGAGGTGGGAGAGGGGAAGAGAGAGGCTGGGAGAGGGGAGGGCAACTAAAATGATCAGGGGTTGGGAACAGGTCCCATATGAAGAGAGGCTAAAGAGACTGGGACTTTTCATCTTAGAAAAGAGGAAACGGAGGGAGGATATGATAGAGGTCTCTAAAAGAATGAGTGGGGTGGAGAGGGTGCATACAGAAAAGTTCTTCGTTTCCCATAAAGAAGGACTAGAGGACACCAAAGGAAAGGAATGGGTAGCAGGCTTCAAACTAGTAACAGAAAGTTGTTCTTCACAAAGCAAAGAGTCAACCTGTGGAACTCCTTGCTGCAGGAGGCTGTGAAGGCTACAACTAGAACAGAGTTTAAAGGGAAGTGAGATCAAGTCATAGAGGTTGGGTCCATGGAGTGGTATTAGCCAGGGGGTAGGAGTGGTGTCCCTGCCCAAGGTTTGTGGAAGGCTGGAGAGGGATGGCACCAGACAAATGGCTTGGTCACTGTCTTCGGTCCATCCCCTCCAGGGTCCCTAGGGTTGGCCACT